TACAATACAATTGAATGACTTTATTTCCAAGTTGTAACTACTAGCTGCCGACTGTCCCTGCAGGAGGACAACTGCAGTGTAGTTTACAATCGAATAGATACGGTAGTTGAGCGTTGAGTGATATCCCAAAACATGGCTGCGGAGGAGACAAGAATTTACAGCATTAAAGCAGTAATTACCACATTAAAGTAGTGATTAGAGTCAATTAATATCTGATCTAAGAGTGCTAAAGAGGCGTTGAAGGACTTCAACTTCTCAAAATAGAGACACGGCAAATAGTTGGTTTCCTTCAAAATGGTGTACAAAATTTGGAAGAAATTGCACGAGCTACGATTGGTCATTTCATTCCTCAAGTTCGTGCAGAAATGATGGGATATTCGTTTAATAATACACGTAGTCTAGGCCTTTTAAAATTGTACAGTGACAAAAATTACGTTTCAGTAAACAATTATTCTTTTTAAGACTTTTAAAGCCAACAATGATAAAGACAGCGTTGTCAAATATGACCTGATTCCACCAATTACCACAAGGACCATAAGAATCATTCCTGAGGCCTGGTTCATTCTCATCGCTTTGCGTGTAGAGCTGTACGGATGTAAAGCAAGTAAGAATCTAATACTTTCCTTAATTAGTAATATGGCCCACCTTTATTGTACAGTCCTAAAAAAACTAACACACCCGAACTCACCCTATAAATAAGGTTGGCCAACTAGTTTGTTACCTCGCGCTACCTTTCTGGAATACTCATCTCCTCTACATTGATATTTGTCATTATTGACGCAGATGTGATTAGCTTCCCATCAAGTGACACAACCAAAGTGTAAAATTCCATAATCTTTACACACTAAAGCATCCATTGCTGAAAGAAACCTACCGTGCCATATAATGTTTTTCCAGATAATGGCGGGTACTCTCAGTGGGGTGATTGGACTGAGTGTTCCGTAACTTGTGGTACTGGTCATCGCTATCGAAGGCGTTATTGCACAAATCCTCCTCCAAGCCCTGGTGGTAAGGATTGTTCTGGTCTGGGACCTGATACCCTCACAGAAGAATGCAACAGTGGAGGTTGTCCAGGTAAGGAAATGGTCATGAAAAGAACTGAGATGATTTCCAAGTCTCAGTAGGCCTCGTGCCAGACTTTTCCCCGACAGATTTTTCAACAAGGCGTAGCCACGCTGTCTATCGCTGGTAGCCAGTAAAACGACTGGTAATGACATTTTCTTTGTTCTATCAAGGTTATTGACTGTGACGATTTTGTCTAATTCGACATCTTAGTTTTATAACTTCGCTGACAATGTCTACGACTACCTTAACAGACGTTGCCTTCTTAGCTTACAAGCTCTTGGTGAAAAAATAAACAATTATTTACGTGCAAGTAATATCCAAGTAATCCATTGACTTTATCGTTCTGAGTGGTCCGATTTGGTTCTTCTTATCTCGCTTCTACATAGTAAACGGTAATTACTCGGTTTGGGGACCGTACGGCGAGTGTTCAAAATCTTGTGGAGGTGGGGTGAAGACGCGTAAGAGGACATGTACCAATCCGCCCCCGGCAAGCGGAGGAGAAGACTGCAGTGTCCTTGGACCTGACACTTCTACCATGGAATGCAACATCCAGGAATGTCCAGGTATAATGGAAATTCACTTGAGTCCGTTTTTAAACTTGTTATAGTTAGTCCTAAACTACAAATTGCAGATAGATACAAAGGCATATTCACGGATCTCGGAGTAACAATTGCAAAACTCTCTTTCCCGCAGTACAAAAATTCTTTCACCCATCGTTTACTTACTTGTAGTCTTGTAACTGAAAAATCCTTGTAGGGAGTTGCAATAAAGTATGTATGTCTGTGTGTTTACTAACAGGACTAACAGTTGCTAAACCGCAGTATCCTAGTGCCTTTGACGTCGCTACCGATGATACACCGTAAATTCATAAAGAGCGTCCGGCCTCCGCTTTGTGCTTTGAGGAAGCTAACTCTCGTAAACAGTATTGGCAACTATCATGCAGGTTTTACATGCATCGTTTGAAGTAGTTTCTGAGCCATGTCCTGTGACCATTACTAAATTTTGCTCGTCTTCTGTAAATGGCATGTCAGCTTTTGGGGGAATTCATTTTTAAATTCAAGATACAAAAAATAAATTGGTAGAAGATCCCAACAGACTCGGTCCCCTTGACGTAATTGCACAGAAATACAAAACTGGCTTTTCCTTCCTCGCCTTTCATAGTTAACGGTGGTTACACGGATTGGAAACCGTATGGCGAGTGTTCCAAGACTTGTGGGGGTGGGGTCAAGACGCGAAAACGAACGTGTACCAATCCACCACCGGCCAACGGAGGAAAAGATTGTAGTGGACTGGGACCCGACAGTACTACCAGCGAATGCAACAATCAGGAGTGCCCAGGTAAGGATATGGACAATATTAGCGCCTACATTTGGATCATGTTATCAGTGACTTCAAATTCTGGTACTTCCTAAAGCAGCTGGACTAAAACATCATGACAAAGAGAAGCCTTTCCCAGAGTGGCTGGGAGAATACTGTTAAGAGCTAGGCTATTAAACAAACAAAGAAAGATCCTTCGCTCAGTGTGACTGGGAGAGGATTGTGAGGAGCTACAGTGAAGGGCTAAGCGCTGGGCTAAAACACATACAAACAAAGATCATTTGCGCAGTGTGGCTTAGCCTGCATAGCTGGGGGTTTAGTCGCCGCTCGTTTTCGCGGATAATGTTCTATACGGTCCTACCAGCTACGCAGACTAGGTATGGCTGGAAGAGGATTGTGAAGAGCTAGGCTAAAAAGTAAGACTCCGAGCCTTTGCCCAGGAAGATGGATTATGAATTCGAAGGATTCTTCCGTATGACTTAAGGTGTTGGGATTCCATTGCCAAATAATCAAAAGACATTTTAAAATTACCTGAATTTCTTTCACATTTTTCCAAAAGACATTTGACCTACCTTTTTCATAAGAGCTATTTTAATTTTGATCATTTACTTTTTTATCCATGGCTTGCTTTTTAAGTCATTTTAATTACTATTTTTTCTTTTCTCGATTTTTATTGCAACCGGCGCCATGGGCAGGAAATTTGGCGCGTTGTAAATATAATTTTTACTATGAGTACGTAGAAAGAGATCTCCGCAGGCAAACATATTTTTGTTATTTATACTATTATCCATTTTTGTAGTGAACGGTGGTTACTCAGATTGGGGACCGTACGGCGAGTGTTCAAAGACTTGTGGGGTTGGGGAACAGACGCGTAAAAGAACGTGCACCAATCCACCACCATCACACGATGGAGAGGACTGCAGTGGACTGGGACCTGACAGCTCTACCAGGGAATGTAACAATCAGGAGTGTCCAGGTAAAACGGAGAAATAGCGACCGTTAAGTTCCATAAGGTGAAGACCAGTGACCCCAGTCACCCATCCCACTATGAATTCAAGGGGCAAAATTCAACTGAAGTTAGAAAAAATTAGAAACTAATGGCGCCCAAAAGTTACAACCCTCTGAAAGAAGCGATCGAAGCTGTGCATGCTGCATACTCCCTCCCTCAAACCCCACCAGCCTCCTACCCTATCACAGCCCCACCACATTAAAAACAGATCTAGATTGGCCCACTGCACGTTTGGTATATAGTCAATCTATGATTGTAAACAGTATTCCGTGATAATGCAAAGGCTAAGAGATAAGAGATCATGATCATATTCTCTTGAATAAGAAATTACCTCTATGAGATGCGCCTGCAGGTATCCATCATCTTGGACTGAATGGTTATTTTGATGAATACAACTCCCATGATTCCCAGCGGGCGAGTCTCATGGAGGGAATGGACCATTCGTTTTAATTATTTTATGTTCTATTTTTTGTAGTAAACGGTGGTTATTCAGACTGGAAGCCGTACGGTGTATGTTCCAAGACTTGTGGAAGTGGGGTGCAAACACGAAAGAGGACGTGTACCAATCCACCGCCTTCTAATGGTGGAAAGGACTGCAGTAGACTAGGACCCGATAGCACCACCAGGGAATGCAACAATCAGGAATGCCAAAGTAAGATAAACCGTCTTTAAATCACATTTTTGATCTTTTGTAGTGCGGGCGAAGTTGTTTTGCATGGAAAGAGCTAGGCATGCCAAACTAGACGTCCAGCAGCAAGACGATGTAAAATCGTTGTCTTTTATTTTAGTCTTGTGTCTGATCAAATTACTTTCTTCAGTAACTGTCATTGCAATTATCAGACAAACAAAAGAAGCGAATTTCGTTCGTTCCACTTTGTGGAAAAAACCAACTTTTATTCAAATCGCATTATCACTTTGGCGATCACTTTAGACAAGAACTTATATGTATTTCTTGTGATTATTTGAACCTGCATTACAAGAAAAGAAGGTAAGAACGAATGAGTCCTTACCATGTAATTTATCTTAAGTGAAGGCCTTGTTAGAATAATTGGCTATTTTTTCTTCGATGACAGAAACGTGGAAGCCAATGGGATGCTACCAAAACAGAGGACGAGCTCTGGGCGACATCTTGTTCAAATCTAGACGTGGCAAGATCTCAAGGAAATATGGGCAATGCGTGACCGCGGCCAACAAAAGAGGAGTTACAGTGTTCGGTTTAGATGACACCAGATGCTGGACTGGCCAGAATGCAGCAAGTTCTTATGATATTTATGGCACTGCTGTAGGGAGGTGCGGCTCCACCAAAGGCGGTTTGCATTATGGCTTCTTGGCATCAGAAATAGTGTTTGTTTACCAAAAGAAAGGAGGTAAATTAATGGGGCTTCATACCCTTTGTTTTGAAAACTTGATTTCCACAGTATCCTCGGTCTAACTCTGAGTGTTGGTGAGCCAGACTTGAGAAAATGAAGGGAGGGTTAGGAACCCTTCAATGCAAGAGGATTCTATTTTCAAACTCACTAATAATCCGTTTAAAAAGGAAATGGTGACCGTGGGGGTATTTGAATACCTTGTCTTAATTACATATATTTGTACGATGATACTTTTTCGTTTTTTTGAGTTTTAGCTTCGATTGAGAAGATATATCCAACAGTGGAGACAATGTTTGACCACATCTCCGAGCACCTTGAATTTTATCACAAATACCCCGTACGCGTCATAATCTCAACTCTCTCTTCGTTATCTGTAAATGTGGTCAAGCACGGTCTGTTTGTGTTTGATATATTCTATTCAGTTAAAGTACTACTAGTCCTGGAGTTTCTTCTTCGTAAAGCATATCGAAAATGCCCAGACGAGGCGGACTATCCTGTACAGTCCTGTCCTGACTATCCTGATATTACTGGCATTTACTGAACCATTCATCTACCATTCTCTTATAAAGGTGATTGGGAACCTATTGGTTGCTACAGCAACGTGTCTCCCAGAGACGCTTTCGCTTTGCCGGAATTATTTGACGACAAAGTGAGTGCTAAGGGCCCTGATGCAATTTTCAACTACTGCAAGGGGAAAGCTGAAGCGCTTGGCTACAAGATTTTTGGAGCAGACAATAAGAGTTGCTGGTCAGGAGATGAGGCCAAGAATACTTATAAGAAGTACGGGGAGTCCAAACTGTGCGAGTTTAGTAAGAGGACCGGTAATGGTTCGGGAAACAAGGTCAACGGAGATGTGTTTGTCTACGAATTGGCCTGAGGTAAGCTGATAAAATTACTAGCAGACAGCTTAATTAATGTCACCCTTTTTCTTGTAAAAGTAGGTTCTTAAAGCTTTAATTAAAGTCATACCCACTACATACGAGAGGCCAAGTAGTTGGTCAAGTTAGCACCAGAACATCTGAAAAGTCCGGTTGACAATCCTGGTCAACTTAGTAGCTTAGTTATGTTGTGTATTTGTTCCTCTCACGGTGCCTCTTTGCTACGGGGATATATTACCGTGCCTGCGAATTGTCAGGGCAAGCAAAAAATACTAGGAATAAGCCTGCCATGGACTACAAGTAGGATCCTGATGGAGGTCACAATGCACCTGCTCCTATTGGCCATGCTATTACGTTCCTCTAATTCCAATGACTAGAGCGAACTTTCCCTATAACCCCATTTACTGATAAACTGTAAACCCCTCCATTTATGGCTAATCATATACCACGAATAGAAGGAAATTTGGGATGAACTTGGTCCATACCTCACACTAACTACTTTGGGTCAGACATTAGCTCTCGTAAGGTATCATATGAATGGCTCGATATCCTTTGGGAGAACAATAGAACAAATTACAGAAACAATGAACCTAGCCCCCCCCCCCCAAAAAAAAAAAAANAATATTGTCCATATCCTTACCTGGGCACTCCTGATTGTTGCATTCGCTGGTAGTACTGTCGGGTCCCAGTCCACTACAATCTTTTCCTCCGTTGGCCGGTGGTGGATTGGTACACGTTCGTTTTCGCGTCTTGACCCCACCCCCACAAGTCTTGGAACACTCGCCATACGGTTTCCAATCCGTGTAACCACCGTTAACTATGAAAGGCGAGGAAGGAAAAGCCAGTTTTGTATTTCTGTGCAATTACGTCAAGGGGACCGAGTCTGTTGGGATCTTCTACCAATTTATTTTTTGTATCTTGAATTTAAAAATGAATTCCCCCAAAAGCTGACATGCCATTTACAGAAGACGAGCAAAATTTAGTAATGGTCACAGGACATGGCTCAGAAACTACTTCAAACGATGCATGTAAAACCTGCATGATAGTTGCCAATACTGTTTACGAGAGTTAGCTTCCTCAAAGCACAAAGCGGAGGCCGGACGCTCTTTATGAATTTACGGTGTATCATCGGTAGCGACGTCAAAGGCACTAGGATACTGCGGTTTAGCAACTGTTAGTCCTGTTAGTAAACACACAGACATACATACTTTATTGCAACTCCCTACAAGGATTTTTCAGTTACAAGACTACAAGTAAGTAAACGATGGGTGAAAGAATTTTTGTACTGCGGGAAAGAGAGTTTTGCAATTGTTACTCCGAGATCCGTGAATATGCCTTTGTATCTATCTGCAATTTGTAGTTTAGGACTAACTATAACAAGTTTAAAAACGGACTCAAGTGAATTTCCATTATACCTGGACATTCCTGGATGTTGCATTCCATGGTAGAAGTGTCAGGTCCAAGGACACTGCAGTCTTCTCCTCCGCTTGCCGGGGGCGGATTGGTACATGTCCTCTTACGCGTCTTCACCCCACCTCCACAAGATTTTGAACACTCGCCGTACGGTCCCCAAACCGAGTAATTACCGTTTACTATGTAGAAGCGAGATAAGAAGAACCAAATCGGACCACTCAGAACGATAAAGTCAATGGATTACTTGGATATTACTTGCACGTAAATAATTGTTTATTTTTTCACCAAGAGCTTGTAAGCTAAGAAGGCAACGTCTGTTAAGGTAGTCGTAGACATTGTCAGCGAAGTTATAAAACTAAGATGTCGAATTAGACAAAATCGTCACAGTCAATAACCTTGATAGAACAAAGAAAATGTCATTACCAGTCGTTTTACTGGCTACCAGCGATAGACAGCGTGGCTACGCCTTGTTGAAAAATCTGTCGGGGAAAAGTCTGGCACGAGGCCTACTGAGACTTGGAAATCATCTCAGTTCTTTTCATGACCATTTCCTTACCTGGACAACCTCCACTGTTGCATTCTTCTGTGAGGGTATCAGGTCCCAGACCAGAACAATCCTTACCACCAGGGCTTGGAGGAGGATTTGTGCAATAACGCCTTCGATAGCGATGACCAGTACCACAAGTTACGGAACACTCAGTCCAATCACCCCACTGAGAGTACCCGCCATTATCTGGAAAAACATTATATGGCACGGTAGGTTTCTTTCAGCAATGGATGCTTTAGTGTGTAAAGATTATGGAATTTTACACTTTGGTTGTGTCACTTGATGGGAAGCTAATCACATCTGCGTCAATAATGACAAATATCAATGTAGAGGAGATGAGTATTCCAGAAAGGTAGCGCGAGGTAACAAACTAGTTGGCCAACCTTATTTATAGGGTGAGTTCGGGTGTGTTAGTTTTTTTAGGACTGTACAATAAAGGTGGGCCATATTACTAATTAAGGAAAGTATTAGATTCTTACTTGCTTTACATCCGTACAGCTCTACACGCAAAGCGATGAGAATGAACCAGGCCTCAGGAATGATTCTTATGGTCCTTGTGGTAATTGGTGGAATCAGGTCATATTTGACAACGCTGTCTTTATCATTGTTGGCTTTAAAAGTCTTAAAAAGAATAATTGTTTACTGAAACGTAATTTTTGTCACTGTACAATTTTAAAAGGCCTAGACTACGTGTATTATTAAACGAATATCCCATCATTTCTGCACGAACTTGAGGAATGAAATGACCAATCGTAGCTCGTGCAATTTCTTCCAAATTTTGTACACCATTTTGAAGGAAACCAACTATTTGCCGTGTCTCTATTTTGAGAAGTTGAAGTCCTTCAACGCCTCTTTAGCACTCTTAGATCAGATATTAATTGACTCTAATCACTACTTTAATGTGGTAATTACTGCTTTAATGCTGTAAATTCTTGTCTCCTCCGCAGCCATGTTTTGGGATATCACTCAACGCTCAACTACCGTATCTATTCGATTGTAAATTACACTGCAGGTGTCCTCCTGCAGGGACAGTCGGCAGCTAGTAGTTACAACTTGGAAATAAAGTCATTCAATTGTATTGTATAGATATTCACCAAAATATTTACCTTGGTATGTGTTTCTGGCTGATATTGCTGAAGAAAACCGCGGTCATCAATGTATTGAAGCGTGTAACTCTTGACATAGTAAACCGCATGGTAAAAACCCTGCGTGGCAATGCCAGTCACTTGTGTGTCTCTTCCAAAATTGATCTGAAGCCACTGACTATGATCACTCACTGCTGGTATCCAGCCTCCATAACGTCCAACTCCTCCCTTATAGTGCAGCCTAGCATTACCAGGAGCGTACAGTAAAGTCCCAGGGGCCAGTGTAGTGGAGGCTGTTATAGCGGAATCTGGAATTAACTTATCTTGCATCCCTAGTGGATCCTTGCAACTGACCTCTTGAGGTATTTGGAAGCCTAAGAAAACAAGACGGGAGAAACAAGGCTGTTGATGTATGTGAAAAGAAATACCTTTAACAACAAAAATGAAAGTCGACGCAAAAAAATACAGGCATCTAGAGTGTTGACGGACAAGGAAACAAGTAACAAAAGAGTACTACGACTGCCACTACAACTACCACTACCACTACCACTACTATTACCTCTACCACTACCACTACCACTACCACTACCTTTACCATTACCACCGCCTCTACCTCTACCATCACCACTGGCACTGCCAATGCACTACCACTGCCACTGCCACTAACACAACCGCAACCACAACAACTACAACTACCACTAGAATTACTGTATCAAAATCCCTGCCTCAACCACAGTCACAACCACTACCACTACCACTACCACTACCACTACCACTACCACTACCGCTACTACTACCAGCACCACTTCCACTACCGCTACCGCTACCACGATCTGTACGACGAGCACTACCACTACCACGATCACTGCCGCTACCGCTAATATTGCTGACACTGCTACTGATACGGCCGCTTGCAGCTGACTCTACAACTAATTCGACGTTGACAGCTACGTACCTGATTTACAACCATAGAAATCAGCCCTCATTGAAATCCAGACGTGGTATTCCAATGGATTGATTCGGATGAAGCGTGCAATAATAGGATTCTTTAGCTTGTGACTCACAATTGAGAATCTATCCTTATTGCCTTCAAATTCCTTAAATAAAACAAAAGAGTACATGCTTTCTTGATTACAAACACGGCATAACTGATTAAGACTACACAATAGAGCGCTTGGAAATAAACTCAAACTAGTAGTGGATGAAGGATAAGATAGCTTACGTGGGTCTCATCCCCACTGTAATCATTCTCAACCTGTTTTTAGACATCGTACTTAGTTCTTTGGGGGTTAGAGCCATTGGTGTTCCGTGGATGCTTTAATAGAGTATAAAAATGAGTGCAGATCCCTTTGGGCTCTTTACGTGAGTATAACTCGTGACATCATCGGCTATTTCTTGACCTTCCTGTGATTTTGAAGACCAAGAGTGAACTAAAACGAATTTGAGGGACTACCTTAGGTACTCTTCAAAAACACAATAACACACAAATAAAAAACAATTAGGTTTTAGATTGAAGAAAAATTACCTTGACAGAACCGTCTTCCAGGTAGTCACGGAAAAAGTTTCCGTCATAACTGTACGTCAGACGATACTTTTTCACCCATTCGTAAGTATCGTCTCTTCCTTGAGTGGACACTATCGTCACTTTAACGAAACGCCCAAAATTCACCTGAAACCAACTGTTGTCTCGTAAATTACCAGCTGCCCAAGCCCCATAGTGTCCAGCTTTAAGCCTGAAATTAAGTCTTCCATTGCCCGGTATATATAAAGTTGTACCCGGAGCTACATAGCTTGAAGCAGTTATTGAGGAGTCCGGAATGGCATAATTTTCCAGACCTAATCCTTCCTGGCAAGCAGGGGGTTGTGGGGTGGGAAAGCCTGAAGGAGAAATAGTGATTTTTATTTGTAGTTTGTTTTATTTTAGAAGTGATTTATGTAGTATATCCTTTATACAAACTGCTGACTATCTATTGCCAACTTACTGCACAATTGTTATGGTGGAATGATTCTTCCTTCGACTGCTTGAATGGTTCACGTGCGGTATAACTCTTTATGTATATGACGTGAAATGTCAAAGCTTTTCCTAATTTTGGTGAACGTGAGCCCCGACGACGATTTTTTTGCATTTTCTTTTGGAAATGATCACTGGCGTTACATATTAAATTTGGGCGGTTTTTTTAGAACAATTGGCGACTGAAGAGATCTAGATAATAAGGAAATTCAAATGTTAAATATATGACTTTCTATGTGACATATATGTCATATATGTCTATATGCCTCGGTCTTAGCGTCGCCGCGGTCATTATTTTAGCTCCCTAGTATCCGGAAAGATATTTTGATTATGTCATACATGCATTTATTTGTACGTATTCTTACCTGAACGACATCCATACAACTCCATTCTTAGTGACATCCACCCATAATACGATACCGGTTGAACTCGGATGTAGCGGGCATAGATTGGTGGATCCAGTGTGTTAATATGAAGGCTGTCTCGGTCACTGTTACCTTGAAAGACCTAAAGTGATAACAACAGACACGTGTACGTAATGGCAAGTATCAACAAAGCGTTTAGCAAAAGCGGACGAGCACGATCAGCGACCGATTTCAAGGAGATCGACATGGACAATGCGATATTGAGAGTGTATATCTAATAATTATCAGATATAACAACGTTTGTGGAGATAACCTCATTGCAAGGCGCTGGAGTTTGAATCGAGCGATCCGGGTTCGTGCCCTGAACGGGGGTAATTGGATTGTGTTCTTAGACAATATCTCTCTTCACCGAGGTGTATGAATGGGTACCGGTAAATTTAATGCTGGGGTGGTGGAGTGCGATAACCCTTCGAAGGACTGGCATCTCATCCACTAGGGGAGAAAAAATACTCCTAGTCGTTAGTCGGGATAAACTCCGGCCTTTATGCACAACTTCGCCCAGCGTAGACTTTGTTTTTCTATAGTTACATGGAAGTTCAATCTCCAGAGGATAACACGAAAACAAACAAACAAACAAAACATTGAATTACTGTATGACTTTAGCTAAATGTTTTGGTTTCAACTTACCTTTTCAGAGCCATATTGACCGTTCGTGTAAAACTCAAAATAACCGCCATCATAGCTATAAGACACCTTGTATTCAGTCACCCACTGATACAGTTCTTCTCGGCCCTGAGTTCCGATCTTGGTCACCTTTGTGATGTCACCAAGATCCACCTGAATCCACTGTCCTTGTTCCAGGTACAAAGTTGACCATGCGCCTGTTTTGCCGTTCCCTGCCCGGTGATTTAGCCTAGCATTGGTAGCTCCATGAGCTACATTATACTGCAAATGTATACAATGCGTCGATTCATAAATTTATTATTTGATTGCCCGGGTTCCCTTATTTAGGGAATTGAGCTACCTTGTGCCAAGCTTTTTACTTTCAAGAGCACCAGGGGAATGTACCTCTAAGCATTTCTAACCCTGTTTTTCTTTCTTAAGTCTTAAAGTGTAAACTGTCGATTCTTCTTTCATCTCTCCTGTCCAATATTTAGACACAACTAGCTGGAGGTTAACTTGAAACCTCAAAATGCCAGACTTCAAGACTACGACACGTGATCAGAAACTACTGACACTATTACCGGAGAAGAATCACAATCGCGCCAAATTTGGGTACGATAAAAATAACTAACGGTGTCGAGAGCTAACCCGCCTGATGTATCGTCAAAGAGTATACAAGTATAAATATGTACTGCATCTACCTCGTAGTTAGCTTTGATGGCAGAGTCGGGGATTTTCCCATTTTCCATTCCCAGGGCTTCTTCATGGCAACCTAAAAGTGTTAACAAACGTGAAGTGCAATAGAACCCATTACCAAGCAAAGCGCCTTTTTTATGTAAAAGAAATCTTTTTGGCATAAATTCATGAGTATTTTAAGCACCGTAGTATGAATATTGATCATGATATGACTACAAAACCAATTTTACTCAGACCTTTAGGTAAAAATGCAGTGGCTTGGGGGAGCTTTCAACTACGACAACTAATCGATGCCGTAGTTTCCTTGAATTTGTGCTGTCACTAAATTTAACTCAACTATAACTCTCTTTACGGCAGACTGTTAAACTGGTATAGTTTTCAACATTTCCCAGTTCATTAGACATTTCGAGTGGTCAGTTGGAGAGTCCAAAATAGCAATCGCTCTTCACATTAACTGCTCATTTTGACGAGGTACCTAATAAATTGGTTGAATTAACATTGACTAAGCTGAGTAGTTTTAATACTGTACACGCACGAAAAGGTAGTGTAATTCTTAAAATAGCAGAATTAATTAAAACTCTTATTTTTTATTTTACATCTTCTTGATGTATGCAGTCCAATTATTTGTACATTCAATATTTCTAGTATAAATAACGATCAAAATATAGGCTAGCTGTGAGGGAAATGTTAAGGACTATGAAAGCAGATTGGTGAGAAAAAATGGACACTTTCCTTTTTTCACAGTACATGCATACCTTCATCCGCATACCCTGGAGAAGGAAAAAAGAACAGCGTGTGGTAGAATGTGAAAGAGACCTACACCTTTATAGCAATGAGACTAGACAAGTACAAATCAATACAAGAAATCCCTTATGTTCTGCAGTGGGGCGGGGAAATACTTTCCTGATCTAATAAATTAGTAACAGAGCTCCTAACTTATATTAAGAGATGCCTCTTAGCCTGATTTTAACCTCTTTTTATTCAATAGTATTCCCCTCTCCTAAAAATGTATGATATATTTCTATAGTTCTTTTATAAGTATGTGTATCAGTGAACTGTTGATGTAAACAACACAGAGGCATTCAGGTTCCTGTTGCATCGCGAGTTTAGAAACGGCCTTCATACCGAAAAAACACACCTTGAATAATAATATTAATAAACTAACTAAATCTAATTAAAATAGAAGCAAAAGAAAACCAACAGCGGTTACAAACATTTCCAATTGACAACGCATGGTCTAAAAAAATTAATGTATTAACTTGAGGTTTAATTTCGTATGTTACAACATACATCTTCAGAAGTGACGGTTATAACTACAAGTTTTTTCAGACCATGCGTTGTCTATTGGTAATTGGAACCGCTGTTGGTTTTCTTTTTCAGCTTCTGAAATCAAAATGGTCGAAGAACAAGAAAATTAAAATAGAACTATTTAAAATTCAATTTAAAAATTATATAAATACATGGTCATCCTATTGTCTTTTTAAAACAGTTTGTGTTAAAGTGATCATTATGTTTATTGCTTTTCCTATGCGCCTATTTTGTCAATTAGATTAAAAGTACGTCACGTCATTCCTTATTCCAAAGCTTTACAAAACCTTCCTTGAGGCGATGTGAAATAAATGTTATTGCATTATTAGAGTACTTCTTACAAGTTTGTTTTGGTATGTCACTGATCGCCAGATGCTGTACATGTAGATAAACAACTTATCAATACCTCCCTTAATGTATTTTTCCCTGGGATAGCTTTTAAAGACCATGCAAGTACTCAAATTAATTCAAAAGGAACCTGTTAAGGGAGGATGGGGAAAAGTATAAATGGAGTTGATTCATTTGTTCTTCTTAAGAGAGATATTAGAATTTTCACAATTTGTTTGGTTCTTTGGAGGAGTAAAACGTTATTTGGTTAATTATTTTACTGCCTAAAGAAAAATAGGCTACTCCTAGGAGTCAAACCACCTTCGCAGGAATGCAAAGAAAGCTGATATTTTCTGCTCTTACGAACCGTTAATAGCTAAAAAATTAGAAAGAGGGGAGGTCATTTACAAGTACTATGCATATGAAGAGCAGAAAGTTATTGGTGCTCAGTGGAAAAAGCGATTTTTACTTTAACTTCTCGTTAGTAACAACAGACTTCCACCATATTCATTCTTGTTGATTGGCTAAAGCAACTTTTACAACAACCGTTTACATTTTTAAAACCAACCCCCTGTAGGTTTGACAGATTTGATGCCTTTTTAATAAAATGGTCGTTAAGTTTGTTGACATTAATCAAGAAATAAGTTCGTTTATCATTAGCTTATGTTTACACGTGTGGTTTGCTGCGCTCCTGATCCTTGCAACGTATCTTCAGTATGATGAAAATGCACACAACAGGAAAAAAATAAAATGTAATTTCAAATCAAAAAGTTACATTCATAAGATCACCCTCATAAGCCTGACTAGTCTCATGGGAAGGGGAAGCAATAACTGCAATCAGTCAAGTTTTAACACAACCTACTGTTTCTTTTTTGCCTAAATAAAATCAATTTCTTGTCACCCTGCAACCTTTTTATCGTACGCGCGTTACATTTTTTGATGAGGAAATATCCGTTTCCTCTGACTCTAGCAGTATTTTGTTCCTAGCCTTAAATATAGATCGATAACAAGAACCAAGCAAAACGCACGGATAAGCATTTGAGGGCTGTTTTAGCTCCCATATGTCTCACCAAACGTACAATCCATACAACAGTAGAACACGTTAGCACAATAGGTACCATAAACTAAAGCTATTTATTCGAATAAATTTTTTTTTGGAGAAAATAAGTTAAAAAGAACTTGTATAATTAAAACTCTAAAATATCAAAGTTCCTTTTTTCTGTTAGTAGCATACTGTAAGTTCGTAATATGTAATGTGTAAATTGTGACGCGTAGATACGTACTCCGTAGACTGTTTTTGTAACTGTAGTGTAAGATTAATTGTAATTGCTGTAATTGTTCAAGCAAAGAAAAAACATTAACTTACCGCTTGGTAGTAAAAGTTGAAGCAGCAAAATAATGTGTAGCTTAATGTCCATCATGGCACTGAGAGCTTGAGAAGACTAACGCGTTTCACGATTGTGACGTTTTCTCAGTT